TTCGACGCCGTGCTGGTGTGCAGCGGGCACCACACCGATGCACATCTTCCACTGAACACCTTCCCAGGTACTGCCCCACGGGCTGCTCACTTGGTCCTTGACACCCCTGGGACCACCCTCCTCTCCAGCTCAGCCTCCACCCTGCTCTGAATGCTACCAAAAATGCCTCTGAAGTTTTAACACACCAGGTGGGATTGCATGAGCACCCAAAGCATCCTGCTGGCAGATGTCACAGCTGCCAGTGTGCCTCTCCCACCAGAGACAGGCTCCCTCTCCACACTGCTGGCCAAGCACATGCTAGGCTCTCCAGCTCCTCAGCAAGCTTGAGAGATCAGCACTCATGTTGGCCTTCTCCTTTGGGTGCCAGGCAAAAATGCCTGGAGGGCTTTCAGCTGTGGAGACCCTCTTTGGCTGGGGAACAGGCTGGAGGACACCATCACCAGGGTCTGGTGATATGGTAGAAACCCCAGCCACTCCTCTACCCTCAGTGCATAGCACCAGACAGGAACTGCAGGAGGATTTTGGTATGGGAGCACAGAGGTATTCAGTCCAAGCCCTGCTCCAAGTCAGGCTAGCCCCAAAGCCAGAGCAGGATTCTCAGGGCCACACTGAGAATCTCCCAGGCTGGAGATGCCACCACCTTTGTTGGCCCCACCCCAGGGCTGGTCCCAGCCTGTTCCCAAAATACACCACCAATCTGATCAGGGGGCAGCCACCCTCCTATCCCACATCCCAGCCCAGCATGGCTTCCCTCTCTCTTCCAGGGCTGGAAAAGTTTGAGGGCTGGTACCTGCACAGCCGGGACTACAAGAGCCCACAACCCTTTTCAGGAAAGCGGGTGGTCGTGGTTGGCACCGGGAATTCAGGCGTCGATATCGCAGTGGAGCTGAGCCACACAGCCAAACAGGTCTGCTGGGAGAGCCAACAGGGATGGGGTGCTTAATTCAGACCCCAGAGAGCAGTGATCATCCCCCCACCACCCGCTGCGGGCTCCCCTCCCTCCAGCACCCGGCCACGAGCACCACATCCCCTCTCGATGGAGGTGTCTACTGTGGTCCCAGCAGCTGTGCTGGCATCCCTGTCTCTGGAGCATGGCAATGGTCCAGCCTGGTCTCAGGATGCTGCCATGCTGCCACCTCTCTTCTCCTTTCTCCCAGGTTTTTCTCAGCACGAAGCGTGGGACCTGGGTGCTACACCGTGTGGGGGACAGCGGGTACCCCTTTGACTTCAGCCACCTCAGCCGCTTCACGCAGCTCCTCATGAGCCTGCTGCCTCAAAACGCCAGTTTTTTCGTGGAGAGGAAGGTGAATTCCCGCTTTGACCACACACTCTACGGCCTAAAGCCCCAGCACAGGTGAGTGCCATGGCAGCACTCCGGGTACCTGTCCCAGCAATGCCCATCCTGCTGCCCGTCTCACTGCCCAGGCCCATACAAGGTCTGTCCGTGCCTTCCAGGATCTTTGACCAGCACCCGACCGTCAACGACGACCTGCCCAACCGCATCATTTCAGGCAGGGTGCGGGTGAAGCCGAATATCCAGGAGTTCACGGAGACATCTGCCATCTTCGAGGATGGCACCAGGGAAGACATTGACGCCGTGGTCTTCGCCACGGGATACAGCTTCTCCTTCCCTTTCCTCGAGGGGTGTGTGAAGGTGGTGCAGAACCAGATCTCCCTCTACAAATTCATGTTCCCCCCTGACCTGGAGAAGCCAACGCTGGCTTTCATCGGCCTCATTCAGCCCCTGGGTGCCGTCATGCCCATCTCCGAGCTCCAGTCTCGCTGGGCCACGCAAGTCTTCAAGGGTAAATCAGGCAGTTTGGGGGGATGCAGCCAGGTTTCCCTAGCTACACCAAGACTGAGGTGTTCAGCTGGTGGCCTCCCCTCACATGCTGTCTCCCCACACTCACCTTTTAATCGTCCTTTCGCTCCTTCATGAGGACAAAAACCAGCGTTGTATTTTGCAACAAGTCTTGCACTGATCATCTCTTGTGAGGGCCACTAACAGGTCCTGTTGCCTGCAAACGACCTTCTCCCTTTCCTTTCCTACCATTACTTTCTTTGCCCACGCCTCCCACTTTGCTCTTGAGGTGGTGGCACTTCCCCAAAGCCCCAAAGGCTTCCATGTGCAAGCAGAGGTCTGGCTGAGCCATCCAGACGGTTGTGGGAGCACAGCCCTCCCTCCAGCTACAGCCTCCTCTTCCCTAGGGCTGCAGGACCTGCCGCCACTTGCCAACATGCTGGCTGAGATCACACGGACCAAGGACCAAATGGCCAAGCGGTAAGGACCCTGCACAGCATCACTTCTGCCACCCTTACCCCCGTGCTCATGTGACAAACCCGCCTCCCCTTCCTCCCTGCCCACAGGTTCGTGAAGAGCCAGCGGCACACCATCCAGGTGGATTACATCCCCTACATGGACGAGCTCGCCTGCCAGCTGGGGGTCAAGCCCAACCTGCTCACCCTCTTCCTCACGGACCCCAAGCTGGCTCTGGAGGTGGCCTTCGGTCCCTGCACGCCGTACCAGTACCGGCTGCGGGGCCCGGGTGCGTGGCCGGGTGCCAGGGAGGCCATCCTGACCCAGCGGCAGCGTGTGGTCAGAGCCCTGCAGCCCCGAGGCAGGGCCCGCCCCAGCGCCCTGCCCCGCATCCTCACGGTCCTCTTCAGCATCATCGGCGTGATTGCGGCCATCCTCGTCTACGGCTCGCGCTCTCCTTAGCCTAAAATGAAGGAGACAGCGGGTCCTCCCGGCAATCTTTTCCTTTGAGCTTGTGTCTGTTGCTCCTTGCTAGGTGTGCCGCCACGCCCGGAGGCACGGAGGGAGTCCTTCCTTGAAGGTGCAGCCGGGTCTGTCCCGCCTTCCTGCTGTGCCAGATACGCAAGTCCTGGTCAGGGGCTGCTCTGAGGACGGGGGTCACTTCCCTCCCCTAAATCCTGGCCCGGCAGCACCACAAGCTCTGTCTGTGGGTTAGGTCACACTGAGGTGGTGGGGAAACTGGGAATGCGCCTCTGGAAAAGGAAAATAAAGCTTGTCTCCGTGCCGAGGGGACCACGGGCCACACTGCTTGGCTGTCTCAGTCTGTGGGGCCTATCCTGAGGCGTCTGCCCAGCCCACGGGCAGCACCCTGCCCGCTTGCTGCCCGCAGCCCCCCAAACATCCCCGTCCCAGGCCCCGCCCTGCCCTCAGCAGACATGGCCGCCGGCGGGGGTGAAGCCGTGCGACCCTCCGCCCGCGCGCCATTAACAACAACGGGCCGAGCCGCCCTCACCAAACATGGCGGGTGCCCGGCGGCGGGGCCGCGGGTCCGGGGCGGGGCGCGGCCGCGGAGCGGGGCGGGGGCGGGCCAGAGCGCCCCGCAGCGGCCGGCGGGGGGTGGCGCCATCTTGGACAGAGGCGGAGAGCGGGGCGGCGGCGGCGGCGGCAGGTGGGGTCGGGCCGGGGCCGCGGGCGGCGGGGCGTCCCGGGTGGGTGGCGGTGAAGGTAGCGCCTGTCCGGGCGCCGCCGCGGCAGGCGGTGGGCGAGGCGTGGCCGCGCGATGTGGCGGTGTCCCGGAGCCCGCACCGCTGCAGAGCGCGGCTCGCAGCCCCTCGGGAGGGCCCCGTCCCTGCCGGTGCGTCCCGCTCCTCCCGTGGGCCACGGCGGAGCCGCGGGTGGTTTGGCCGAGCCCGCCGTGGCTGCCCCCGCCCCAGCCCTGCCTGCTTGGAAGGAGATTTTCCTCCCCCGCTTTCCCAGCTCATCCCCTTAACCTTACGACAACCTCAGGAGGAGGAGGAGGGAGAGCCCGGGCGGATCGGGCTTCCCCGGGCCACGCCAGCCCCGGGAGGTGCCATCCCGGCGGGATGCTGGGCAGAGACCTCCGTCCCTGTGCCCGGACCCCTCGGGTGCCGGACAGCGCTTCCCAGCGCGGGGCACTGGCCGGGTGGGAGAGGCAGCGAGCGCGACAGATCCCGGGGGGAATTGGTGTATTTCACTTGTCATTTTCAGAGTGGGGAGGTGGGGCTGGCTGCAGCCGAAGGGGCCTTGCCATGGGGCAGGCGGGCACACACCTCGCTGCGGCTGCGGCTGGTGGGGGCTCGCTGCCAGACTGGGAGCCGATGCGCCGAGACGCCGCGGAGCTTTGCTTGGGCTTTGGTGTGGTACGTCCGTCTGTGGCTCGGACGTACCTGTGTCACACCATCACAGCGTGCCGTGCTACAAGGTCTGGATGCAGCTACAAGGAGGGTTTGAGCTATAGAAGTTAATTCAGCAAAGCCAGGTACCACAGGCTGCTGTCCCAGCACAAGCAGGGTGCCTGTGTGTTCGATGCAGGGGATTCGGATGGCACACACCAGAAAGGAGCCACCGGTTGGGATAAACCTCAGGTGTTTGGAGAGCGTGACCTGTAAGGGACAGAAGGACTGGATTCCTTTTAGAGAAGAGAAACGGAAGCTTCACATCTGTTAACACCTGCATGTATCTCTCAGGTCTGTCCTGGTACAAGAGGATGTTCAGCCTTTCCTGCTTTCCTCCCTGTAGATAAGAAGTAAGGGATCCTTAGTGGAGTTACTGGGGAGGAAACTCCTCAACAACAGGTTAGTGTCACAGGGGCAGTTTTTGTGAGGAGCTGGCTGAGCCTCCTCAGAGCAGAGGGGGAAGATGTCAGAGCAAGAGGTGCAGCTCACCTGACCTGGATCATCAGATACACTTGATCCGCACTGAGAAGGGTGGAGGTATGGGTTAGCTGCCCTCTTGAGCTGCCTTTTAGCCCTCAGGATTTAAGAAATACTTTAGTAATTGCTTCATAATATTCTAAAGCCTGGCTTTGGCTGGCAGCCTTGCCTGGCACCCTTCGTATAACTTGATCTTCTAAACAAACCTCCAAATGTCACAAGTGAGCACATGAAGCAAGGCTGGCTGTGCCCTTGCCTTGCTCCACAGAGCCCAGGGTAAGCTGCAAAATAAGCCTGGGAAGCAGGCAAGAGCCCCAATCCATCTCAGCTCCTGAGAACTGGGTAAGGCCTGAAGAGTCCTGTGTAGCTTGCGGTGGCTTTGTTGTTTGTCCCGAGAGGTGTGTAGTTGTTTGTGGCTTGGTCAGTTGTCCTGTTTTGCTTTCTCTGAGCTGGGTGAGGCTGGGGATGCCAGCCCATCTCCAGCTGCAGAGGGACGCTGAGGTGGCTGGGGCTGCCCTTCCCTCATTGTGTGCCTCCAGAGAGCCCGGCAGATGCCAGAGTGCTTGGGGTGGTGCCGCTGGTTCAGTCACAACAAGCGGACCTCCTGGCTGTGCTGTGCTGCAGCTGACACGGTGGCTTGCCTGGTGAATCATAAGTAAATGCTGCTGAGAGCTGAGCTTTTTGCAGACAGCACAGCATTAGCCCCACTCCTTGGACAAGCTCCAGCTTGGGCGATTCCACTCGGACACTTTAAATGCTCCCTGTCATCTTTGCCAGGCGCAAGACTCTGCTCTTCTGCCTGTGAGCTCTTGGAGACTTATTGGGAGCTGTAAAACAGCTGCTGCTTTCACTCTCTGGTTGTTTTCTGGCTGGATGTAGGGGATTTGTCTGTAGAGCCTGACTGTGGGACTGTGAAAGAGGCTCTGTTAATGCCAAGCAATGATTTGCCAATAAAGGTTGGCTTTATTTTTCCCATCAGCCCCTCAATTCTGATGGCTGCCGAGGGCTGATGTTGGACACAGGTGAACTAATATTGGTTTTGGAGTCTTAAGAATTACCAGCTTAACTACAGTGATGGTTCTTAAGGATACAGCTATAATTAAGTCGAGCTGTCTTGTTTGTTGAGCATTCAGCTTCCAAACTTGGTAGTGGGAATGAACTTGGGGCCTTTTTTAGGATTGCTGTCCATCTCCTCTGGCAAAGAGCATTGGGAAACGGCGCCTTTGCTCCTCTCCTTGCTGCCAGAGCCCATGTGCACAGGTACAGTGTTGTTCTCTCTCCCTCACAGGGGCTGCTGAGCTGTCATGGGGAACACCACCAGCGAGCGAGTGTCCGGGGAACGCCATGGCTCCAAGTCCCACCGCTCGGACGGCTCCGGGGCCTCCCACCCCACCAAGGAGCACCCACACAAGATCATGGTGGGCAGCACCGATGACCCCAGCGTTTTCAGCTCCCATGACTCCAAGGTAGGGGCTGGCCGCTCCCTTCCCTGCCTCCGCTCTGGAGCCTCAGCTCACTGGCTCTGGGGGGCTGTGCTCCCAGCCTTGCGAGGGGTTTGTGGGGAGCTGGGAGGCTGGAGGAGCTCCGCAGTGCTCCTGTCTGGGATGTGAAGGTGTGGTGGTAGAGGCCAGGGGGAAGTGAATGTGTTCATGGTTGTCTTCGTGTCTTAGTCAGGCTCTGGTTTTCTTTGCTCAGATTCCTGGGGACAAGGAGTTTGTGTCGTGGCAGCCAGATCTAGAGGAGTCAGTGAAACCATCCCAACAGGCTCGACCAACTGTCATCCGCTGGGCCGATGGAGGCAAAGAAGTCTTCATCTCTGGATCCTTCAACAACTGGAGCACTAAGATCCCACTCATCAAGAGGTAGCCACTCCTTCAACTCACTCTATGTTCTCCTCTGCTCCATTGCAAAGAATGTTTTTCCTTCTCTGTGCTGGTCACTGTTCCCTTTGCTCACCTGGCTTTTCCTGTTCATCCAAGCTGGGGGTCTGAGCACAAATACATAGGCAGCTCCTTCCCTGATGGTCCTGCAGGGACTGTGGGAAGTTGTGAAACAGAGGGACAGGACAGGATAGGCCACTGTGCTTGCCCAGCTGTATGTCATGCAGGAGCCAGTCCTGGTAGCAGAGCCCTGCCCAAGTATGCAGCAGCCCTCTGGAAGCTGCCAGCTCTTCCCTTGGCTGTGGCTTTACCCCATGCCTAGTTGTATTGCTGTCAGTGGGGGTTGGTTGGTTGTCCTTCACATGTCTTGCTGTTCTGCAGCATGTTTGTGATTTACATGAAAGCTCTGTGTAGGACTCCTAGTAATTCTTCTGGAATTGCAGGCTTCACAAACAGAGTTGCCTCACTTGCTCCCATCCTGCCGTGCCAGCACAGGGCCAGGAGCTTTGCCCACGCATCCTCCCCAGTGTTTCTTGCACAGGGTGTCTGTCACATCCAGTTTCTCTGGGCTTGGAGGGCTGGACTGCCTCCTGCTCTCCTTGCAGCTGGACTCCCAGGGGTTTGAGCCACGCTAGTGCTTGGAATGCTTGTGCCTGTTGTGGCCATGCCTCAGGTCACCGAGGATGAACAAGCCTAACCCTACATGAAGGTGTTGGGGTAGAGGGGCTGGGCAGTGTTGATTCCTGGGGCCCCGTGGAAGTGCAGCATCCAGAGCATCAACAGGGTGATGCTGTTGCACATCTTTTCTTTCTGCACAGCCACAACGACTTCGTTGCTATCCTGGATCTCCCAGAAGGAGAGCACCAGTACAAATTTTTTGTGGATGGCCAGTGGGTCCATGACCCATCTGAGGTAATGTTCAATGCTTTATCCCTGCAGATCTTGTCTTCTTCTTCTAGGCAACTAGACAGGATGTATCTGCAACAGAGAGGGAACAGGAAGAAAAGGAGGTCATCTGCCAAAACAAAAGGGGCACCTCCCTCCCCTGAGTCCTCTCAGAGGGTGGTTCCTCTGGACTTAGTCATGCATTATGGGGAAGCGTTGGGGAGGGGCAGGGAAATGCCAGAAGGCCTTTAAATCCCATTGAGAATTTGTCTACAGGGGAAGATGGGCCATGGGTCATCACTCACTTGCAGGTTCTTCAAACTGGATCATGCGGTAGCAGCATGGGAAGAACACACCCATGTTACAGGATAGAGGATGAAAATAGGAGGTGATATAGAAGCCTAGGAGTAAAGGGAAATCCTCCCAGGGTAAACAAGCATAGAGCAGAGATAGACATCAGCCACCTGTGCTCTGAGGTAGTGGTGCAGCAAAGACAGCTTGGGCTGGGAGGATCTGGGAGGCATTGAGTGTGCTTCATTTGGAGGTGAACACAGGAAGATTCTTACCTCAGTTCTCTCCAGCCCGTGGTCACCAGCCAGATGGGGACGATTAACAACCTAATCCACGTCAAGAAGTCTGACTTCGAGGTGTTCGATGCATTGAAGGTGGATTCCCTGGAAAGCTCAGAAACCTCAGGTCGGGGTGAGTTTTGTGGCATTACAGCTTTGCATGTGCTATTTTCCACCTCCTCTGCTTTGAGACTCTCTGCTCTGGGGTGAACAGACCCCCTGAGCGGAGGTGTGGGCCTGCACTCAGTATGGAGTAGTGTTTGGCAGCAGCCCACGGCTGAGGCCTCGTTTCTCTGGAGGGGCTGTGCTGGTGTAACTTGTTCTGTGCTAGCGCCGGAGCAGAGCCAGCGCCTGTGCACGGCTGAGGGAGCCGTTCTGGAGTGGTGAACGCTGGGAACATCAGCCCTTTCTGTCTGAGCAACTGTAAGTCATCTGATCCGGGGTACAAGCTAGGTGAGAGCAGGATCGAGGTTATTTTCAGCAGCTGCTCTTGGTTTACATGCCAAGGTAATTTGTACTAGTGGTAGCACATTGCAGACCTCCCTCTCTGCTTGTGTTACAGCAGCAGGTTGGGTTACCACGCAGGCACCAGCAGTGCTGGCTTGGTGTGTAATGCTGGCAGGCAGCTCAGTCGTGTGTTGGTCCCTGGTACGACCCCATCATCAGATACAGCTCAGCTCCATGTCCTTTCCCAGCCTGGGCAAGAGGCACTTTGCTGGAGAGAAGCCAGCAGGCAGCAGCAGCTCAGAGAGGTGAAGCCCTTCTGGGTGCTGGCTGTTCCAAAATTATCAGATCAGATATAGCTGGGAGATGCGGCCAGTCCAGCTTCCAGTGATCAAAAGCTCCTGTGGTCCCTCCCATGTGTGGAGCAGCTGCTCAGTCTAGAGTTCCCATTTGCTTTTCCTGGACCCCCTCATCAGGCAGTCCTGCAGTACCAAGAGCATGCAGGCAAACTGATCCCTGTGTCCCTGCTGCCAAGGGTACAGTCCTGGGGCAAGCCAGCTGCTTCCTGTAGGAGAGAGACCTGGCTGTGCCGAGAACACGTGCAGGGTTCTTGTGGTGGGTACCACAGGGTGCTTGTGTTGTGTCAGTGCATGTACCAGCTTACAACCCTGCTTGGAAATGCCCTGGGCTCACCTGGCTGCTTTTTCTGCTGTGAAAAGGCTGAACTGTTGCTAAAGGATAAATACCTGGCCATAGCTCATGGAAGATATTTGTGCCTGAAAGATCCTGCTGGGTCCTTCTCAGCTTCTGGGATACTGTTCTGTGCTCTCCCATCCTGCTTTACCTATTTCATGTCTCCTCCTTTCTCTTCTCTCCAGACTTATCAAGCTCACCACCTGGACCTTATGGCCAAGAGATGTACGTATACCGGCCCGAGGAGCGCTTCAAATCCCCACCCATCCTCCCACCTCATCTCCTCCAGGTCATCCTGAACAAGGACACCAATATCTCGGTGTGTACCAGCATTCTACCCACACAGAAAGCTGCACTGGGGGTGAGAGGGGAGTCCTGTCTGCAAGGAGCCTGATCTCCCCTTGGCTGAGGCCTGGCCCTTGGCATTTCCTAGGAAAAGCATCACTTTTCCCATTAGCCACACTGATTTGGCCTCTTGGTGCTTAGCTGAGCTCTGTTCCTGTTCAGAACAGCCAGAGACACCAGCAAGCTCAAACTACCTGAGACAGCAGCTCCCTGTGCTGGCTAGGGCTGGGAGATCAGGGCTCTGCTGTTCCCTTGTGACACTTCTCTCCTCCTAGTGCGACCCAGCACTGCTGCCCGAACCCAACCACGTCATGCTCAATCACCTCTACGCGCTCTCCATCAAGGTAAGCGCAGGTCCCACTTGGCTGCTGGGTGAGGGAATGGGAGCTGCTGTGGCTTCCAGGAGCCTGCAGCACCTGCAGGGAGCAGAACCCGGACAGCTGGGGAGGACCCACGTAAGGACAGCATGGTTGCTCACTAAAGTGTGGCACGTGCAGGGGTGGAGGTTGTGGCTTCCTTACAATTCCCTTCAGCTGCCTCCCTGCACCGTGGTGGAGCTGAGCAGCCCCATACCAGATCCTCTGCCATGACATCCTGTTGTGTATTGGATGTGTCTCACAGGCTGTGAGACTTGGGACAGCAGGGATGGGCTGGGGCAGCTCCCTGAGCCCCCAGAGCCCTCCTCCCAAGGGCTGCCCCGGGAGTGCCCCAGTCCCCCGCTGACGCTGTGCCTCTCGCAGGACGGCGTGATGGTGCTCAGTGCCACGCACCGCTACAAGAAGAAGTACGTCACCACGCTGCTGTACAAACCCATCTGAGCCAGAGCCTCGCCCACCCCCCACGCAGGACACGAAACGCCGCTTTGTCTGCACACACTGGGCCACAGGACTGTGTGAGAACTGGGTGCTGGCTCCAGCCTCAAACCTGGCAGGGACACAGGCCCTGGCAATGAGCCCAGGGCCGCTGGGGCCTGTGACACTGTCTCATCCTACTGGCGTGGTTTGATTTAGCCCTTGGTTTCCGCCCACCTGCAGCTCCCCTAGGCTTCTGTGGGTCTCTGGGACCACTTTGCTGCTCACCAGAACAGCCTTTCCTCACGCCCAACATGGAAAGGGCTTCACCCTGCCTGTCTTCTCCAGCCTGCAAGGGCCTCAAGGTGATCCTAGCACTACCCGCAGCCCAGGCCTCCAGGAATGTGTCCTACCTGCTGAAGGTTGCTCTGGTGTCTTGGTCTTGAGTTTCCAAAGGCCACCTTGATCACTAGAGGCTCCGCGACACTCCAGCCTGCTACCTGCCCCCTGTCCCACAGCCCTGGCTGTGGGGCTGTCCCCCAGCTTTGAGGAGGGCTCTCAGCTCTGGAGCCCCAGCCCCCTGCCAGGTTCAGCGTGGAGCCAGCAGGGTGGAAGGTACAGCCGGACACAGCCACGCTTACCTGCCGCTGGGACAGCACCGTCAAGGACTGACTGCTCTGTCCCCAACACTGAGTGCTTCTATGGGACAGGGCTGGCTTCATCATAGCCAGAGGGGCACTGGCACATGCCCACGCTGAAGGGGCCTGGGGCGAGCAGAGCCGGGCAGGCACCCCAGGACCCTGGCTGCACCGCCTGCTGCCGCAGCAGTGCCATGGGACAGGGATTTATTTATTACAGTATTTATTGTTCTCAGTGCTGCTTGCCTGGTGTTGGAGGGGGGCTCTGGAACAGCAAGAGGAGGAAAGGCAGCACCCAGTGGGGCACAGAGCTGCCCTAGGGGTGCTGGGGTGGGGCACAGAGCCACCCCCTTGGGGCCAGCTGGAGCCTTTGGCACCCTGTGCTGTGGGTGAGTTGGGGAGGGGGAGCACTGCTGCAGAGACGGGCGTGCCAGAAACACCACAACCCAAAGGTAACCTTTATTGGGGACTCTTCAGCCACTGAACAGAATATGGCATTTCTTACATCTTCCTCCCGCACTGGGGCCCCAGCATGCCCGGGAAGCCCCCAAAACGCAGTTCTGATACCTCTGTCTATATACATATACATACATCCATGAGCAGGGACGGGTACTCAGCAGGGTTACAGGTGGGACCAGGTCCCAAGGCGAGGGGTGCTCAGTGTGGAGGGCTCTGTCACCCCACTGAGCACCAAGGGTGGAAGGGGGCGAGCACTGAAGCATGAGGCAGGCAAAGTCCAAGCCAGCAGCTGCTGCTGCAATGCCAAGCAAAGGCTGGTGAAGGGCATGCGACCACCACAGCAGCCCAAACCCACTATTAGTGTAGCACACCCCAGACCCCTGTCCACCCCAGCCCTCCGAGTAGCAGGGACAGAGTCTGCTCCAGCCCTCTGGCATGGCACGACTCAGCAGCCAGCGGGCTGTTCCATGCCGGGCCATCGCTCCCTGCCCTGCCTGGGGCTCAAGCGACAGGCAGGGCCTGCTGGGCCTTCACCTGGCAAGAGACCACACATGGCAGTAAGAGGGAGAGTTGCTGTGCCCTGGGGACATGGACACACGGGCTGTGAATAGACAACAAAAATGTATGTCCCCCCCACAACACACTACTGCACCCAGCTGGCCCTCAGCATCCCCTGTCAGCCACCACAGGGTGTGTGTCACCTGTGCCCATCCCCAGGCCATCAGGGCTCACTAGGGCAGAGACACCCATCCCTATCCCACACTGGCTGCCAGGGCAAACTCACCTCCAGGTTCGTCCTGGCCTTTCGCAGCACGTTGTGGGTCCTGGTCACTGCAGGGGAGAGAGAAATGGGGTCAGTGAGGTCCCTGTGCTGTGGAACCACCCCAGGTACTTGGGGACCGGGCCAGTTTGGCCGTGCCACCGGGGCCACGTACGCTGGCTGACGATGAAGTGCTCCATGCTGTCCTTGAGCTGTGCTGTGCTGCGCAGCCGCTTGGCCGTGCTCTGCAGAGCATCCTCCCTCTCAGAGAGCCGGGCCCGCAGCGCTGCAATCTCACCCTGTAGTGCCTGCTCCTGGGAGCATGGAGAGGAGAGGAGTGTCATGAGCAGTGAGCACCCAGCCCCACCGCCCTGCCAGTCCCCAGCCCCTGCTCACTTTGCCCTGGTGCTGGGCGAGGTTGACAGGCAGCATGGTGCTCCAGAAGGCAGTGAGGAGAGACACACACTCTTCCAGGATGCTGTGGAGGGTGCTGGCACTGCCCCACAGGTGCCCCTGCCCTGTCCCTGCCCATCCCAGAGCCTGTGGGAGAAGGGTGCGGGAGCAGGTGCTGCTGGGGCACCCACATCCCGCTACACCTGGGGACTTGCTGTGTCCAGCCCAATGCGGCAGGGCAGTGCCAGCAGCAGCCCCCAGGCTGGAGGCTCCCTGCCTCCTGCCAGCCCTGCAGGCCTCGGGGCTGATTCTGGGCTCAGGAGCCGTGTCACACGTGGTTGCACAAAGGTCTGGCCCCCGGGTGCTGCCAGCCCCGTCCTGCCCACACTTTACCTCCTTTCCCGCGAGCTGGCAGTTGGGCAGTCCAAGCGCCGGGCGCGTGAGACACATCAGCTCACGGGCCAGGGCCTTCCCCTCCACGATGTGCTGCTCCAGGGCTTGATATGTGTCCAGGCGGCCGACAACGTGAGCCCCCATAGGTCCCTCGCTCTTCCTCACCAGTGGGTCTGCCTCTTGTGGCTCTGTGGAACAAGCAGGGATAGGTGAGGAACCCTGCCTGCTCCCCTCGTGGTCCTCCCCATCCCATCTTGGGGGCTTGGCTCTGCCCTGAGCTCTCCAGTCTTGCTCAGCAAGAGTGCTGCCACGAGTTTGTCAGGTCTCAGCAGCTCCTAAGACCTGTGTGTGGTCAGGCTCTGGTACCCACCGTTCATCCGCTGGACCACCACCATGTCAGAGGGCAGCGGGGAGAAGAGGGGAGCTGCTGAGTTTGTGCCAACATCCCGCACTGGAGGAGATGGGAAGCAGCCTAGAACAAGAAGTATCTGAGCCCCTGTGGACATCTGTGGCTCTGTGCCAGGGGCTGCTGGGGTCCTGCCCTCCCTCTCTGCCTGCCAGCAGGACCACCATGTCCCACCTGCTGCCATGACAGGAGAGGTGTTTAGAACCACCCAAGGGTTGCAGAGGGGCCAGGCACCCCGAGACCAGGGGCTGAGGGGGCTGGGCACGGGTCCTGTACCTGCTCGTGTCTCAGCAGAGGGGACAGGGAGGCTCTCGTAGACGTGCAGCTCTGCACGCAGGGTCTGCAGGAGCAGGCGCTGCTCCTCACTCTGCTGCTGCAGGAGTGTCACTGAGTGCTGCAGCCTGTAGAGGGGTAACACGTGGGTCTGGTGCCCACCCAGTCCTGTGGCCCCAAGGTCACAGTGCCCCAAACCTTACCTGTTGTTGTCCTCCTGCAGAGAGACCCGCTCGTCCCGGAGCTGCCGGACACTCTCTTGGCACTCAGCGAGCTCTTCTGCCAGCCTCTGTTGCTTCCCACGCCTCTGGCCCAGCTCCGCTTCAGCCTCCCGTACCCGGGAGCAGGCAGACAGGAGTGCCTTCTGCACCCGGACCAGCTCTGGGAACAGAGACCGTGGAGGTGTCACCGCCACCCCACTCAGCCCTCTGGGACTGAGCCCCAGTATGCTGGTGGCCCAGCCCTACCTTGGGAGAGGTGGTCACGCTGGAGCCGCACGGTCCGGTTTTCCTCACGCAAAGCCTGGTTCTCCCCACTCAGCTGCAGCCCCAGCTCCGGTGTCTGGGCATAGACATCACTGGGCAATCCTGCAGAGGGGACCAGTGCTGAGTCACTCTCCCCAGTGCCCCACTGTACACGGGGTGAGCACCCTCCCTTTGCAACAGGGTGTGCAGAGCCTGGGACCCTGGCAGCCCTGGCCCAGTGCAGCCCCGTACCGCTGGCCTTGCCAGTGGAGGCCAGGCGGCGTTCCAGCTGCTCCCGGAGCCGGTCGTTGGTGCAGATGGACTCCTCGAGGCGCTGGCGCAGGCTGCGGATCTCCACCAAGTGTTCCTCCAGCAGGTCTGCCCCTGCCACAGCCAAGGAGAGGGCTCAGGGCAGGAAAGGCAGTGCCATCTGCCTTATGCCATCCCCACTATCCTGCCCCATGCCAGAGTCATGTCCCACAGTCATTCTGGTGCCGGATCTCCTCCCTGTTCCCCCACACGCATGTAGGATGCCCCTGTGGTCTCCAACACAGACCATACCTGTTAGCTTCTGGCTGGAGTTGCACCCCAATGGCAGGGCCCCATAAGGTGTCTGGCCGGGTGGGGGTACGTCCCAGAGGACATGGGCTGAGGTGGTCCTGGGGAGCTCAGCCAGGCTCTGCAGTGCACCGTGTTGGCAGAACGATGCCGGGGCTTTGCTGCCCTCTCCAAAGGGGCCCAGTGGGACCGTAGGCTTTGCTGGTGCCACGGGCAGTGCCACACCTCCACGCACAGGGCAAAGCAGGGAGGAGAAGGACAATGAGCAGGGACAAAAAATGGGGCAACACACTCCCATCATGTGCTTTTTGCCCCCTTCTCGCTCTGCCCAACAGTGCAGCCCAGCGTCCCCCCACGGTGATCCCCCATCACCTGACCTCCCACCCTGATCAAACCCACTCCCGCTGAAGAGCGGAGTTTCTCCCAGAGCTTCCTGATTATGTGACACAAGGTGGAGGGTCTCAGCCCTGCTCCTACAGAACAACTAGCTAAACCACCCTTTCCCAAAGGCCCTGGGATACCCAAGTGCCCACACCAAGGGCTAGTGTTGCCTACAGTTGTGTCCATTCCACCCATTAAGACCTTTCTGCACAAGAGCTACATGTCCCCATCATCCATCAGCCAGAGAGATGGGACCCAACCTCAAAACCATAGCCCCAAGAAGCAGCAGGTCCAGGGCAGGACAGGCAGGTCAGAGAGGGTGGGAGGGGATGAGGCACAGCACAGCATGCAGGGCAGGCAGGACCAAACCCAAGCCAGAGGCAGTGTGCTCACTTTCTCCCAGTTGCCTCTGGAGCACCTGCAGTTCCTGTTGTGCCTCAGCCAGGGAGCAGACAGAGGTCCCACAGCAGCCCAGGAACGGTGGGGCTGTGGGAGGGGGGGGCCCAGCAGACAAGAAGGGGGACAGCCCAGGGGCCAGTGCAGGCAAGGGGGCACTAACAGGTTTGGACAAGGAGTCCAAGTGATGGCCTAGAGATAGGAGAGAGAGATGTTAGCATGGCTCTGGCTCAGCCTAGCAAAGATCCCTTCTCCCTGGGGGCACTGGGGACCCTGGCACACCCCAAGCAGCCAAGTCCACATGTCCAGAGGTGGTTGTGGCCCCTGGTCACCCTGCAGTACCTGTGAGTTGGGCAGGCTCCTCATGGCACTGACTGCACTCACTGGCTGCATCCCCATCAGAGCAGGGCTCCAGCCCCTCAGACATGAAGGAGGAGCTCGTGGCAGAGTGGGATGACTCAGAGGGTGGGCAGCTGCTACCTGGGGACTCAGAGCGTTCCTGCAGCTTCACCTCCAGGCTCTCAATCACCTTCTCCTTCTCCTGGAGCTTCCGGCTGAGCCTGCAGAGGTAGCCTGTCACCTGGGCTGGCAGGTCAGGGGGACTTCCATCCCACAGCTCCTTCCTACATGACACCCACATGGCATGTCCCACTTGTGATGCAAGGCTGCCCGGAGACATGGAGTGCTCATAGGGGTCCCCAACCCCAGAGGTAGCCCCAGGACCTGTACCTGAAGCACAGACACTTAGGGCATCC